GAATAGCTTCTTTGGAGGTTGTTTCTGGATGAGTGTCCTGGGGCTGGCAGGGCTGGGAGGATGGTGGCTTGGGACTGGTGGGCACCAGCTCACTCATGAAGCTGATGCTGGTCTTGCAAGGGGCAGTAGACAGCCTACCCCCAGAGCTCAGGGAGCACCTCAGCCCTGTCTGAATGCAGGCACTACTTCGGCTGCTCTTCTCCCTCCTCCTGTTGTCCCAGTCAGCAGCTGGCTGCCAGGAGCTACACCTGTGTTCCCACGGCCTCCCTCCCAGCCTGAAACCCAGCTGTGAGGTCCTTGGTGTGTGCCCCACCTAACCCCTCTTGGTTCCAGACTCCCCATCCACCCTACAAAGCCTAAAAAATTACTTTAGGAGTAGTTTTTATGCCGTTTCTATCTTGTCTGTCTCTTGCTGGCATGATATTATGTATTTCACACCTTCTCTAAAAAATGCATCGTCAGAAGGGAAAAAATAAAATGTGCTTTTTCCTGGCCAGAGAACCTTGTTCTGATCCTCCTTCTTAAGCTAAACAGGTCCTCACAACACACAGCAGCTCATACAACGCCGAGTGCAGAGAGGGGACCTGGCTACCCTGCCTCCTGCACAGCAGTCTCACTGCCTTCTCCAAACCAGCCTTGGGCAAGCCAGTAGAGCTCAGGAGCCACACAGGGAACACCTCACTGCTCAGGACCTTGCTGGCAGGAGGCAATGAAGCCAGCCCAGGATCCCTCCGCCCCCACAGTGGAGGACTTTGCACAAGGTCAAGGATGGGGTCTAGCTTCTACTCAGAGTAAAAACCTTTCCAGCCACCCAACCCTGAGCTGTGGTCTTGCCCAGCACAAACCCAGGGACTGGGGGGTACGCCCAGTGCTCCTGGGGCCATACAAATCTGGCCACTCTTGTCACAGCTTGTCCTTCTCCAGAGCACAATTGCCACATGAACCTCTGCAGCTGCCGCAGTATTTCAGCCTGCCTCCTCTACTCACGTTGGCCTAAGAAACAGCACACTTTTTTTGGGGAGGGGTGTGTAAGCATAGATCTTTATTCAAGTAGTGAAATAATTAATGAAAGGGTACAAGCGAGGGAGATATATAATAAAAATTTCTTTACATTCAAACAAGGACAGAATCATAAGTGAAGAATAAAGGGGGGCCCCAGAACAGAAACTTTCATTCCCATTTGGAGGTTACCCCTGGGAGGGCAACAGGACTCGGGAGAAGGAGCTTTGCCTAAGAATGAGTGTATTCCATCAGACTCAAGGAGTAAAATCGAAACAGCACACACTTAAGGTAGCGCTGTCAGGGGCCCTTGACGCCAGGGGCCCAAGAAGACACTACCCCGTACAGAAGTGCCTTTCTCTTTTAAGTCCTGTACCAGGAAGAACCACAACAGAAGACGATTTTCAGATATAAAACGGTTTTTGTTCAGGCTCAGATATAATAAGTGAGAAGGCACAGCCCCTTGTCCATCCTCTCAAAAGTAGCCCAGTTACATCGGAGGGAGTCACTGGCTGGCCTGCAGAAGCTCTCTCCCTTACAAGACACCCGCTCCGGGTCCCGTTTACCAGCTAAGTCCAGCTGAGGTCGCTTCCAACGTGCCAGTCACGCTGTAAGCATAGGTTTCTCCAACTCGTTCGCGGCCGAGACACAACTCGAGCAGCCAAGTCCCTTTCGTGGAAGTTTGTAAAGAGCCGTTCCAACGCAGTGTCCAGCGCATCGGCTCTGCGCGCGCCACCCCGGATCCTCTCAGGTGCTCCGGCTTCTCACCTGGCGCGGGGTGGAGGCCGACGGCGCGGGTCCTTTCGGGACGGCGACGGCCAAGTCCTCGGCGTGGCGTCCACTGTTGCCCGGTCTTCCGGCTCAGGGCGGGGCGGCGCCTCTGCGGCGGGCGGCCCGCACCAGGCACTGCTGCAGCACC